AGCCTCCCCTGGTACCAGAATTCCGGGAGATGATCACACTTGCTAAAACTCTTTAGTAATTCTTGAAAAAGAGACCCTATCGCTCCATTTGACATCTAACCCTGCATATTAAGCTGCCATCACACAGATACCTCATTTCACTCTCATGCCTCCCCTGAGATTCCCCCTTGTTGGAGGAGGGATCAGAAGACACAGGCACTCGCCTCAGTTTAACCCACAGTCAGTTGAAGTTGGCATGTGTTAACTGGCAAATTCTAGAAATAAACGACTTTGTACTGTGTACCATTCTGAGTAGACTAAAGAAATGTCCCTCAAACTTGCTGCATCCTGTTTAGAATGAGAATTTACACTTTCTCCCATACACCCGTGCTGTATGCACTGCCCACCACCTCCCCAGTCATTGGTACCCTTTCAGATGTCAGACTCCTTGGCTCAGATAATGCTGATGTGCAAATAACACAACTGTACTTACTAATGACTCCTGAGTACAAGAATCATGATTTTCACATTTCACATATTCCAGAGAGATGCCATAGGTGTTTCTATGATGAGAAAAGATACAAATTCTCTACCTACAATGAAAAAAGTTATGTGACTAGGTTGCTAAGATGTACAGGACAGCACAATTTTTTCCAAGAGAAAACACTCTTATCATTTCCTCTAGTATATTGGTTTGTCTTATTTTTTAATCTGCTGTATAATTTTGCAAATTAAGTATGTATGTATAGGAAACAACATTACACATAGTGTTTGTTGCTATCTGTGGCTTCAGACAGTCTGAGGATCCTATAGGCCCCACAGGAAATACTGGGGGCTGGGGTTGCACCCTGTGCAGTGCATTGTGGGTGTCCAGTGATGCCCAGTCATTTCTAGAAGTTTCTTGTTTTTTGGGGACCACAGAAAAAATAGGGCAGCAGGATACGTGTGTTTCTGAAGGACATTGGAAGTGTGACCCAGTCTTGTCTCAGGAAAGACTTGCCAGCCCTGTCTTTCTGCCAGCAATCTTGTGGCAGGCAGCCCCTGAATGCAGCTCTGCTAACCATTGCTTACACACTTAGTTGTTATGTCTAGGTCTCAGATGCAGCGGGCACTTGGAGCACTCACCGTCACTGACACTCTGCTGGGAAACTGAGGAAGTGAGTAGCAATGATTGATGATGGTGATGAGCTGCTGCAGGTGGCAGGAGTGTTGGCAGCGATGAAACTGACAGGGGCGGTGGTCAGTATAATCACAACAGTGAACATTAGCCAGGTACAGATCGGTGTCAGACAACATTCTAAATCCAGCATATGTACAAGCATGTGTAAGTATTACTACTGTGGTGCATTTCACAAATTTAATTTTTTCCACAAATCTGATCATAAATCAAATTGGATGAGAATTAAATCAAACTTCCCCATATGGTCACCAGTGAACCTACCATTGAATTTGGTTCAGTTCTCATCCCATTCAGTTTGAGCCTTCTACATGCATCTTCTCACTGACTTGTCAGAATGCTCCATTTTAGAGGATGAACTCCAAGCCTAATTAGCTAAAGCCCAGGCCAGGAATGGAACATATGATCTGAGCTGTGCTGTGCCCTGCAGAGATGGCACAGAACAAGGACAGCAGCAAAACAGCATGGAGGGATCCAGGGCAGTGGGGACAGTAGAGAAGGAGGGAGAGGGCTGGCCTGGCCTGGCCCCTGTTGGGTGGATGTGGCTGGAACACAGCCTTCCTTACAGGAGGAGTTGAGGTATGGTGTGTGACAGGGGTTGTTTCTCCTGGGTGGGAACTCAGGGTCCACCTGAGCCCTGGGGTGTTCCTAGGAGAGTGGCTGGAACAGATCTTAAGAGTCACCTGGAGTTGGGAATCCTGTCCCATAGTACCAGAAAGATAAATTCTGTGAATTTACAACAGGATCAACGTTATGGTGCCGTACATGCAAGCCTGCACGCCTGTCTCCTTTTCTTGTGTCTTCTGTGAAAGAACTGGGCAAATGCAGTGGTCTGCTGTGATCAGCATCATTTCCTGAGGATCTCAGGTTGCAAATGGTTGTCACTCTGAAGTCTTCTCTGCACTTGGAAACTTTCCCCCACCAGGTTTTCAGATAGCACCAAGCCCATTCTTGAGCCCCTTAGCAAAATAGGATCACATAGTACCATCTACCAACTTGTGCAGCCTGACTCAGCAGAGCCATGTGCCAGGCTGGCCATGATTTCAGGGCCCATATCCTCCATACTTAACCTTTCTCCTCTAGCTGTGGGCACACAGGGGGTCCCTAGTGGTGGTAACTCGCTTATCTGGCCCTGAGCCTCCCTGAGAATATGAAGACAACTTTGAATACTCACTTTGTGGAGGAGAGATGGAGGGACAAACCAAAGTGCCACCTCAGAATGGACCTGTGACTTGAGGGATGATATAAGTTGCCATTGACCCTCACAGAGGGAGTCCCTGTGGGGCTCTTCTGAAGGTACAGAAATCCAGGATAGTCTGACTGGTCTCAGGACAGTAAACAGACCGTGGTGCTGGTATCTGTGACTGTTGAGGAATGGGAGGGAGTTTTGTGGCAAAGACTCATTTCGAGCTATGTAGGATGAAAGAAACAGGGCATTTGCACCCTGTGCCCATATCTGCCTGCCATCTGTAGCACAGGTGAGACCTTTTGCTGTACAGAGCAGAGCAGGGAGACAGTTAAGACACGGCAAGTTCCCTGTGTCTTAGGGCTTCCCCAGGAAATGGTGAGTTCATTGCACATGTGGTCTACATGGTCAACCCTCCTGACATCTTTTCCATTAACAGAATATCCTGGCCCCACCACCAGCCAGCTAATTGCCTGATTCAGCTGACCCCTGCTGGTGCCCCACAGAATCATTCTCATTTGCATGCTAGTTTCTCTGGCTGGACATTTTTGCTCTTCCATGCAAGCATAATGTGCAGATGAGGGTGCACACCTGATGTGTCTGCCTTGGCTTCAAGCCTGCCATTTCAGGCACCATCTCTAGAACTAGAACCATGACCCTTAATTCGCCCTGCAGTCCCTGGCTGAACTAGCTTCTGGCTTGCCCTCTGGCTCCCCTTTGCATTGCTCTTGCACTCTCACCAGACACATGGTCTCTGTCTAGAACACACTTCTGCCCCAGTGCTTGCCTAGTGAGCTCCTCTCCCTCCTGCAGATTGTGCTGTACTCATCACCGCTGGGGGCAGGCTGTGGAGCCCCAAGCATCCAGGTCGTGCTTCCCTAGGTGAGCACATTCATTGTGTTTAGATGACCTGTTCGAGGGTTGCCTCTTTCCTTTAAATGGGCATAAGATGCCCCTGTGAAATGTTCTATGGACCATCCTGGCATGCCGCACCCAGAAGATGCCCGTGCTGTGGGGAAAATGGGCAGGCAGAAATAGGGCAGCATGGACAGTGTCACATCCTATAAATACCTATAAATACGGTGTCTCCAGAATGGTATGTGATCAATCTGTGCTTCACTGGCCCGCCTCATGATGTTTTTACTCCTGAGCAGGGACAAATCATACCACCCGCTTCAGGGGTCTGTGTCAGAAATGCAGACCTTAACTCTCCTTAATGGACTTAAGTGGACCTTAACTCTCCTCTAATGACTGGGAGTCTTGCCTCCTTAAATACCTGCCCCCAAGGGCAATTATTTGTCTCCTTCCCATCCCACTTCCTCGCCCATGGAAACCTAGCCTGATTAAGCTTGCATTTAGTCTGTCCTACAGTGTGACAGCAGGCTGTGTAGTGATGGCCTCACTTTCACAGGGCAGGTGGGATCTTTGCTGAGTACATGCGAGGCTGTAGACAGCTTTTAAAGAGCTTCCCTTTGTGGTCCTAGTGAATTCTCACTTTGTTTCCTGCCTGCTGGGCTCCTCTAGCCCCATGCCTGCAATTGGCCTTCCCTCTAGACACTTGGCTCTTTCCCAGCATTTGACACACTGTTCAGGGGAGACCAGGATCTCCTACTGAGGCCTCTGGAGACTTGTAGAGATGTTCAGGGCCTGGAGAGGTGGAGGAGGAGACTGCCTCAGTGAGAGGTACTCCTTGACCAGTTGGTAAACTTTCTCTCTTAACCCAGCCCTATGGCTGAGACTTTGAGGGAACTGTGTTCTGTAAGAGCAGTAAGATATGGCTTCCTGTGTTTTTTACCTGGCAAGGATCAGTAGCAGGTGACAGAATGGAAGGAAATGCTGGAGGACCAGATGAGAGGAAAAGCAGAGATCGGAGGAGCAGGTCAGATGACAGAAGCATTGGGGTGCTCTTACAGAGATGTACTGGGGTTCTGTTTTTGTTACTGACAAACATGCCAGGGTAAGAGTACCACTGCCCTATTTGAGTCCCATACCCACCTCAGCAGGAGAGCAAGGAGCCTCAAATTAGGTGACTGTCCCACTATGTCCCACAGCTGAATCGGCATGCAGCCACTGTAGAAAGGGGCAGTAGAGGGGCTGGGGATTTAGCTCAGCGGCATAAGCGCCTGCCTTGCAAGCAGGCAGTCGTGAGTTCGATCCCTGGTACCGATAAAAAATGAAAAAGACAAAAAAAAAAAAAAAAGAAAGGGGCAGTAGAAGAGAAACTGGCATGAAGCACTGGCACTGTAGTCCTAAGACTGTCTTGGTTCTGCAAGAAACCTGCTGTGGAGCTTCTCCTGCCCTCGCTCTAAGGGACACAGGAAGATTCTCTCTGCCTCTTTCCTGCCCCTTTTTGGGGGTTCAACCACATTTCCTACTGCACCCTTCTGGGTTGGTAATGTTCTCAGAGCAAGGCTCCACATCTATCTTCTTGTGAACAAATCCATCCCACTGGCCAGTAGCGAATGCAGCCTGAGAAAAAGCCATACGTTCATTGGGACAGGGCAGGACACTGACAGGCCTGCCAATTATTCCTCCTGACATGGGGCAGCCAGAGCAAGCAGCCCAGCTCTCTAGAAACCATGCTGAAATTCACGTCATGCTCTGGCTTCCAAGCTTTGCTGCCTCTTATCCTCTAACTCAGCTGCTTTCTCTCTGCAGTAGAAAAGAACACTTCCGGAATGATAAGCCGTGTTTCTCCGGGGAGGATGGACTGGATCATCCCTCTGATTGTAGTCTCAGCCTTGACCTTCGTGTGCCTCATCCTTCTTATTGCCGTGCTAGTGTACTGGAGGTGAGTACTGGGCTCCCTTGCCTCGTAGGTGCAAAGTAGAGGGTGCCCAGGTATTGCTGCTTGCGGAGGAGGAGCTAGAATCCCCTGGTCCAGAAATTGGGTCAGCCAATGCATGTCTGGTGTCATCAAGGACTCCCTCGTATCTCTGGGTGGTGACACAACCAGCACCACTTTTGAGGACAAGAAATTTACAGCAAACACCTACAATGAAATTCCAAAGAGGCTTTCCTTGATTATCAGGGAGACCAAGTTCAGATCCCATCCTGTTTCCATATGAAATGTTATAAAACTTCCAACACCTGCTAAATAAGTCCTGAGTTTTATCACATTTCTGGTTTCCTAGAGACCATGCTTGGTTTTGGTTGGGTTTCCATAATAATTCCTCTTTGTCTTCAACTGCTTTTGATCACAAAACTTCTGGCGTATTCTGTAGCCTGTAATACTTGCAAGGCACAAACAGCACATGAACTGGTTCTCACAGTGTTCAGTGGCAGCCAGCCTACAGCCTCTGTGTGGCAGTTCTGTGCATTTTCAGCAGTACAGTCACAGCAAGGCCCTTCAGCTGAGTTGGCTTTAGCACTCTGAATGTCTGGCCCCTCATCTGTCAGGAGACCAAAGGAGACTTCTGCCCTTTGTCAGCCAAGCTTCGCCAGCGAGAAATAGGTTCATTTTTATTTCTCTCTCCTTTCCATACTTAAATCTGAACCCATACTGTGTGCCAGGTTGTCCTTTAGTTACCGATGATACCAAAGCAGGCAACGCAAATCCCTGCTCTCATGGAGATTACATTTTAGTAGAGATGACAGGCAAAAACAGAACAAGTAAGTGAAACGTAATTCCTAAGATGACATTTTAGATATTGTGCAAACAGTAGCTCTGGGCCTGGGAGGGACACACAGGGCATATTCAAGAGTGAAGAGGGGCAAAGTCCAGTGGAATGCATGAGGAGACTGCACTGAAGTGAAGTAAATGGAGGAAGTGGCATAGGTCCAATGCGGTAGGCATGCAGGTGGTGGGCACCAGTTGCAGGAACTGTATTTTCCATGGGAGAACCACACTATGTCCTGTCAGGTGGAGTGTGTCTGTACTGAGTTCTGTTTTCTGTTGGAAAGCACAGGGACTAGGCAGGGAAGGGGTCCACAAGGACCTAGGGGACCTGTAGGGACCGCGTGGCAGGGAAGACGGGGTTAGGTGCACTGTGTTTACCAGCGCAGACTCATATCCAGGTCATCCCTTCTCCAGAACAAAGAGATTTGCTAACAGACCTATGTCTGGAGCCTCCTTCTATAATTGGCGACCATGGATGTGAGTTTAGCCAACCATAGAAAACCTGCCTGGCAGTCTCAGCTCTGTTCAGGGCTGAAGTGATAGTGTCACTCCCCACACAGACACAGAGGGCCCACAGCTCTGCCAGTGAGTGAGCCTAGATTAGCAATCCCAACATGAGGAAGCACCTCGAGCAAAAGCCTCCGGGTTACATGTGAGGACCCTGGGTCCTCAGCTTGCTCCTGTGCACATCATCAAGGCTGGGAAGGACCGTGGATGGACCACATGGCATACATATCAGGCAGCTCAAATGGGAGAGGTTACTGCATGTGTCTCATAGAAAAGGGCTCTGTCCTTAGTAAAGACAGCTTTAAAACCCTACCATTCACAGGGTTCTTTTCTTCGCAGTGACAACTGCTTATCATTCCAAAAAACTCAGTGAATCCAGTCAAAAAATGTGTTTAAAAAGTTCAGGCATAAAGTGACTGTCATGATATAATTTTTCCCATAATTTGATTTCATGTGACTAGGATTTTACTTTTCATTCACTGGAGTGTAGATTTTTACTGAACTACTAACATTAGAACCCCCACCCCACCCCCCCAAAAAAAACTGACAAAGAAGAAAATTCTTCCAGAAACAAAATACAATTGAGTTAGAGTTCAGCTGATTATTTGGCTGAGCATGGGAACAGCCTAGATGGGGAAGCTTCCTCTGTCCAGCCTCTTTCTTGTCATTGATGGAAAAGAAGGAAGCCATGGGAGCTCACAGAGAGCTGGAAAGTGCAGAGGAGATGGGTTTAACCGTTTGGCAGAGCACGTGTCAAGGTGATACTCCATGGTTTTCTTTTACCTTTTGAGGACTGTGAAAGCGGGTACCAGGCACAGGGACTTGACGGAAGTGGGGCACACAGCCACATCAAAGCCTCCTGTGTCACTTATTTAGGTGAAAGGCCCTGCACCCCAGGCTTATACCAGCACATTGCGGCGGCAGCAGTCTCTAACAAACCAATGACTTATCCTTCCCAGCTAGTCTTTCAGGTCTGTGTGTTCCTTTGGAGCTGTTAACATTGCGGTTTAACGAGTCCGTTAAGCAGCGGAAAATTGAACCCAGGCTCTCTCAATTTTGTCTCTGCCTTTCCTCCAATGCTGTGCACTGTTCAATGATGCCAGACCTTTCTAAGTTAGATGGTCCACTGGCAGTGCCAAGCACATGATTGGCAACATCTCACAAATCTGCATGGCAGCTCACATTACTGCCCTTTTCCTGTGACCTACACCTTGTCCAGGGAAGAGAAAGAACGTTTATCAAATGCCAGTTGCAGGCCATGTGATGTGCAGTACTGTCACCCCAGGACTGGACAGATGGCAGAAAACACAGTGAGTAAAGGTTTGTGCATCCTTAAATTTGAACATCTGATGCACACTGGACATTTTGGACTCAGAAGATGCAATCAGAATACAAAGACCAGCCTCAGTGTCAATCTCTAAGGCATATTACTTGTGTGGCCTTTCTTCTCAGCAGGGCTCCTATTTCTACACAGTGGTGTCTATTTCCACATTGTGGAAATGGTTTTTCTTCCCTAACATTTACACTTGAGTCCCAAGGTGGTGTCTCTATAACTGATTTAAGGTATTGCTCCTTGCCCAGGGCCTTCTGGTAGTCAGAGACTAGAACGTGCTTGTCAGCGCTGAATGTTCTATGTAACTCTGGAGCCCACAGCAGGGCCATTGCCATTGCCATCAAAACTGTGGGCTGAAAGCTGACCAAGAGGTGGTTTCCCAAACAGGCCTCTGAGGCCCAGGAGGGTGATTTGTGTAGGAAGTTCCACCAAGTGCCCTGTGATTTAAGAAACCAGAAAGCCACTTCTGCTTTTGGGTGGACATGGACCATTTGCAGGCTCCTGCCACATTGGCAGTGCTAAGTATTCCTGCTATGCATGGTGCTGGGGCTGCTGAGGCAGGGATGAAGCCTCTTGACCCTCACAATCCATTAGAAGAGACAGCTGGGGAATATACAAGCAAATGGAGGTGCTTGGAAAAGAGGAAGTTCAAATACGAAGTTCAGTAGCTCATCCTGGAAAGGAGATTGGGGTCAGGGAAAACTAGAGGATCTGACCTCCAAGCATCTGGAAGAAGGGGAGGAGTGATGGAATGAAGCTGTATAGGAAAGAAGTTGGTGAGTGAAAGGCCGGCCAGCTTCCAGCGCATTCATGTGGTTCAGGATCACAAGAGTGGCAAGATCGCAGGAGTGGGGTGTGAGACACAAAGCCCAGGCAGGACCCCCTGGTGTATTACCTGGAGGACGTGCCTTGCCCTGAAGATGACTGAAAGACACTAGAAGAACTAAGGTGCAAGAAAGGTCAGAGAGAAACTGCAGTGCTGTGGTTCAGTAGGAACACAGGTCCAGGCCTTCCACTGGTGGGGTCCGCATACATGCATTCTTGTGGCTCAGCCATCCCCTAAGGGGTAAACATTGGTTCTGGGAAGGGAAAAATTGGTTCTGGGAAGGGACAAAAATTGGTTCTGAGAAGGGGCAAACCTTACCTACGTATTTGTGAAACACAGATACATGTTTCATACATGCAGAGATCTGCTTGTGTCAATGGTATTAAAATTGCATTGGAGTGGTTGATTAGGGAGAAAATGTCTACCACGGGCCCTTGGGAAGGTAGTTGTGACAGGCAGAGTAGGCAGCACTGCCTTAGAAGAAAGGAATTGTCCTCCCAGACTTTTCTCTCTTCATCTGAAAAATACAGTTCAGCAAGGTGTCTGTGAACTACTGGGAAGTTCTGTGTAGACTGAGAGATGCTCTTCCTTGTGCCTTTTTTAGTCAACACGCAGGTGTTTGCTGCAGCGTTATACCAAATCTGAACTCTGGGAAAAAGAGAAACAGTATTCTGAGTGTTGGGTGCCTAAAAAGAAGGTTTATTGAAGACAGTGTATTTACAGGTCTTTGTAAATGTCCCTTAGTTTCCACATGTGTAGTTGTACACAAATTCCATTAAGTTATCCTTGCATGAAACAGTACTTCAAAGAATTGATGGCCCTTTCTAAAGTTCATTCTTCTGAATGATCTTCGTTTTGCACAGTATCCTATAAATACCTACAAGTCATCTGTGTAGAGTTGAACATACTATACATGTAGATTAACCAAGTAAGCAAAAGCATTTTGGGTACAAAAAGGGAAGCCACTGTAATGTTAATGAAGTTGGTTTATGTGACATTTCTAATGGGGCCCAGAGGAGGACACGCCCACATATATACACAAGTGAAAGCTGTGGCCTTACTGCCCACCCCCACCTAGGGAAACCCCTCCAAAGCCCAGTGGCCAGCCTTCCTATTTCAGAGCTGACTGTCCTGACTGAGTGTTAGCTGCAGCTGACAGGTGTCCTAACCACACAGCAGTGTGTTTTTACCGACGTGAAGTCTGACAGGGTTGGGCTGTCCTCCCCTGTGTGGCTCCTCTTAGTGCAGTCTTTACCTCCCAAATTGCTACAGCAGAGAGAGAGAAATTGAGCAGGAACTCAGCTGTGATCTGCTGGGCCCAGAAGTGGAACCTTTGCTTCCATTGACTCACCACTCACTACAGGTGCCCACACAACCCAGACACAAGGTGAGATAAGGTGGCATGTAGTTGTTTGTAAAGTGTTAAAGTACCCTGAAATATTTGGATACAGTGACATCATTGTGCGTAGCGTATGTCTGCACAAGAGACTTCCTAGGAGGCCCATC